CCGGTACACCGACGGCTCCCGATCGATAAACGGAGTAGGTATCGAAATTTTCGAAGACGGTATTGCTGAAAGCAGCAGTCTTCCTCCACAGTGCTCGGTGCCCAGGCAATTATCAAGTACGCTCCACCGAATACCGTGTACACATGGATTCCCGGACACTGCGGAGTGCCAGGTAACGAGTCTGCTGATCACCTTGCCGGAGCCGGGACATCGGTTCCCAGACTCACCGGCATATAATATAAACTGATATATGCAGAAGTAACATTTCAAAAATAATTATTGAAAATACTCGAACATTATTGAGTGCGTCAATTTAGGAACCGCTTCGAATATGGTACCTCCACGGTATATATATATAAAGGGTGACTGGTAATTCGTGTTACACCCTAAAGGAGGTGAAAGTAGACAACATTTGCAGCAAAACAATGTATGGCGACCTACCTACCAAATCATTCCTTACCGAGTAATTAGTCTATTTATTTTATATTGCCGAGCAACACTGCCACTTTTTGCTCGGGCACTCGCTAATATTATAAAAGCCCACCAGAGAGTAAGCATTGCTTGGTTACTATGATTAATCTTTGTTTATTAAGGGCATCTTTAGCGGCGATCCAATTGGTTGGTTTGGTCTAAATACCCAATCTTACCCTTTGACGGAATCCATCTTTGACATAAAAGATGAGACGTAAACAAAAATGTCATGTAAAATTAAGTGCTCCGAGGCTGGAAAGCTCGAAAGTACGTTTGATTGAGCTGAATTTCGCGTTTATTATGACTCAATTTTATGTCAAAATTGACGCTCGTATATGTCAATCTCAGAGCACCTAAATTTACATCAATTTTTCTAAGTGTGTAGTTCTAAAATGTAATTTTTTTAATCCAGTATAATTCTCGATCTATTTTGAACTGAATTTGGATCAAGGCAACCACTGTTCCAAACTAGTTTGACAGCTGTCGCACTCGAGATTTTGTTTTGTTTTGTTTCGATGTTGGGGTTTTTTCAGCAAAACAAACCGATTTAGTTCCTCGATTTTCTAAGAAACGTGGGCGGAACAATCGACTGCTTTTGACATTGGTGTAGTTCCAGCTATATCGCGCTATCGGTGCGACATCCGGACGCTTCTGTTCTGCAGGATTTTCCGGGCATGTTCTGGAAACTCCCAGGGAAGTGGCCAGTTTCTGACTTTGTCCAAAACTCATCATGTGACACATCAAATCACATTAGATTTCAAAAGCAATATCAATGGTAGTCAAATATAGTGCACAGAATCATGTTGACCCCTATCGGATATGTTCCGGGCACCTCCAAGGAAATGGCCAGTTTCTGATTTAATCCAAAACCCATCATGGGCCACATAGCAAATCACGTTAGTTTTCAAAACCAAGATCAATGGAAGTCAAATAAAGTGCCCAAGACCACCTTTCTTACTTCCAAGCATCTTTCAGGAACCCCTAGGGAAGTGACTAGTTTTTGATATGGTCCAAACCCTGTGAAGTGTCAAATCTCACAGAAATAAAAAACAAGATCAGTTTAAGGCAAATATAGTGTTCAGATCCACATTGGTCACATTCTGGTATGTTCCGGGTACCCCCAGGGAATTTTTCAGTTTCTGACTTGGGCCAAAACCCAACACGCAACAACATACCAGACAAATTTCAATAAATACAGGTTATTATTATTATTTCACTAGAAAGAACGAGGAGCAGGAGGACGAGCAATTCAAGGCTTTTTGTTAAAGCTGCACATCAATCCCGAAGACAGCCATCGGAGGTCAATTTAACGGTAATTGCCGTATATAAACCGTGTACGAATGAGTACGAGATTAAAAATTTCGTTCGAGATTAACCACAAAATCAGGGTGTGAGTTGGTTTTGACTCGGGTTTTGACGGTCAAACGGCCAAAAATAGACCAACCAGTGCGTACGCACACAGTTTGATCTATTGTGGCTTGATCCTTTTAATTTTAGCTGGTTCAAATGTGACATAAATTTGGATCTAGATCAGACCACCGCTAAAGATGCCCTAACCACTCTATTCAATTGGCGCCACAGGCTTACTTTCGGATGGATTTGATCAGATGCTAACCGGATGTCTTGTCCTCCCGTCTCGATGAGTCTCATCGTCGCCTTCTGGTCACCATAGCCGGTGGAACTCCAGACGAATCTTGAACCGCACTACCGTTCATAGTGGCGACAACGCTCTGATGAGACAACGAAACCTTACCCCCAAGCTCCTCCCCTGATCCTATTCTTCGACAATGCACCCCTTTAACCTCGGGTAAGCCGCGAGTATTTGGCCCAGTTCCTACTAGACATAGAAATAAGTTAACTTTGTTACAAACAATCAACAATGAATGATGGGCTCCGTAAATCTAACGTGATTGAGCCTTTCAAGTAAAAGAAATAGATAAAAAAGGTTTTAACCGTTTTTTTTTCATAAATTAACGTCGGTCTCTATTCCACAATCTAGTGCCAATCACTATCTATTGACGGCAAGCGATTGTGCAGGAAGGTAGCTTCCACACCTGCGTAGGATATCGCACCCATTCAACACACATGGGCCGGGACCAACGGCTTTACTTCCCTTACGAAAGAAGACGTGACCAGAGATTTTTATGCCTCAGAGAAATCCCACCGACCTCGGCTGGGATTGAACCCAGACTCATTGGGGTAAGAAAGAAGTCACGCTTACCACTACACCACCGGCGCTGGCTTAATCGGTTATATCATGCCGAAAAAAGCATTAACTTCTCCAGAGGATCATCGTTCATCGTTTCAAACATGTGTCGCAAATCAATCGATTTGTTGTTAATCGAGTTATTAAAAAAATGGGAAATCTCCTTGGAAATCTCTGATTTTGGTGTGATTGTTTTGATAGCAAAAAAGTGCAAAATTTCATCTCTGCCGAGGGGGCAGCATAACTACAAAATAATCTTGCATATGGGGGGTATTCATTAGATGAAAGGGACCGTGAAAGAGAACACTAAAATAGAATGTTTTTCTTCCGACAGTTTCATCTTAGTATTCTTCTTTGGTCATACTGTCAAGCTAAAGCAAGCAATAAGATGTGAAATTGCACACTAGCGTCACCTGGTGAGTAAGTTCCAAAGAGATAAGTGACGTTTAACGCACGCATACTACTAGCGGGTGCATTGCCGTGTAAAATTGTTTATTATTTTCCTCTGACTAACCTAAACAATTATAAAATTAGATCTGTCAAAATGAGTTTGACAGCGGTTTGCTTGTATTTTCCCCACATTTTCACTAACACGGTCGCACATAAAGATTCAATACGAAAAAAATCGGACACATTTAAAACGCTACCATTAAGGCATTTTTTGAGTAAAATTTTTCTAAATTTCACTGAAGACTGAAAAGCGTATAGAGTCACAGTGGGCATTGGTTGTCAGGATAGGTTTATTTGTTTACATCATTACTTCACCGAAGCAAGAATGTCGCGATTCGATTCTGAACGCTTGAAACGAAAATACCGGTCTATCCGCTCCTGGTAGTTTTCGATCAAATTTCTGGGCAGGATTTTTATATCTCGGATGGCCGGAAGAGTGCTCCGGAAGAATGTAAAATCAAAAAGAAGTGGAAATTCCCCAAAAAGTTACTTCTCTGGCAGGCAACCTGCAGTTGAGAGCTGAAAAGCGAAACTTTCGTTACTCCTGGGACCATGAACCTGCAATTTCACAAGAAAGAATGCCTACGGAAGAGACTACTGCCTTTTCTGGAGAAGCATGAGGTGAATTACCTATTCTGGCTGGACTTGGACAATCAGTGGTACAGTTCAATTGTTAAGCACATACTGAAGAAAAAGGGTGGAACTGCAATTGAACTGAAGGATTTCAAGCCCCTCAACATCCCTATCCAACGGGGGAGTTTGGTAAAGAGAGATGATGAAACCGATTTGTACCTTCCTAAAAAGTTGTCCTTGCTCGATTTCTACTCTCTATATACAATTTTCACACTGCCGTTCTCTAACGTAACTATCAACTCTATAGTTTAGTTCTATCGTATAAAAATTACCATTTTAGTCTGTTATTTGAAATTAGCATCTTCAACTATATCAGTAGTAGTAAAATTATGTTTATATTTGTGGATTATGATTGTATATTAATTTAACATTTCAACTGATTAGCCTGAAACAAAACGTACAGGTACGGTCTTTTATAAACTTCCAATCGGCTAGACTCTCTCTGTTCTCCCGATAGCAATAGCTAGCAAGCACGTGATTGGTTGATTGCGGCCAAAATGTTTGATCAATTTTCAATGACAAATGAAAATTTACTGTAATCTTTGTACCAAACAAATATTACATCAAATATGAATCAAATGGTGTAAAAACAATTGAAATCAATCAATAAATGGCCAAATTATAATCCTTTAAAACCTAACAGTATTTCGTTACACAATGCTTCGATTCGTACCCCAATATAGATGACAAAGACGTAGTGTAGTCTTATGTAAAAAAAAAAAATAAAAAAAAACTACAAAATGGCTGAATTACACACAAAAGTGTATCATTTCCCATAACAAACAAATATGCAAAGTTTCTGGCAAATCGGAGGAGGTCGAGTCATAATTTTTATTTTGCCACGATGTATTTTTAATTTAAAATCAAATCCTAAAAGCCTCAACACGCAAATTTGGTTGAAAGTCCGTGGGAGTGAATGATAATGTAAGTAATGTCAATTGGATCTGTTTTTGTTCGAATTTACCAAAATTACCAGAATCCGGTAATAGAGCTATTGAGATCCAGAATTCATAACATAACAGATCCAAATGAAAAAAAAAAACTTCCTTTATCTTCTACTACCACGCACATTAAACCACATTTGGATATATGAGGCTTTTTGGATTTGATTTTAAAATAAAAATACGAGAAGAACCGAAATAACCGATTATCAAAATTAAATAAAATGATGCATGTTTTGACATTTCATAAGTGTATTCGTGAACTGCGTTAATATAATTCAAATAGCTTCAACACCTACGGTACGTCGCTTTCGATCCAGTCGATTCACCGTCACCGTCCAGTGGTATCACGGCAGCTGCCGAGTTGGAAGGTCCACATCCCATCGTACACCGGCAATGTAAGGTATAGGTGGTACGAATCGAAAATATAAGTGTTGATTTTATCCACAACCAAATAACAGGACGTTCTAGCAGAAAACAGCACACGATAACCGTCGGCTAATCCAACGAACACAAATAGAACTTTCCAAAATGGTCACAACAACATCATCACAACACGCTGAAATGCTACGCCTGCATCACATTACCGTTTGACATTTTTTTTTTGGTTTCTAGGAAAGCGTATTACTACTGAGGAACTATTCCGGAACTGGTTCAAGTCCGTTCGATTCGATCACCCGCACCCAACTGAATTGACCCAAAAGGACTCGCACGTTCGGAGGGAGGTGAAATATCAGAACATTGGCAGCATGCTATCGAGGTGGAAATGTCCCAATCCATAATAATCATGCGCGTTTGTTTCCGTGCGGTCACCACAAATGCCAACCGACGGAAGCTTTCCGACCCATATTGACCTAGGTGTTGGCGTTGGTGAAAATTATTATTAATCACTTGTTGGTTTGGTTACCTTTCTTTGCGCTATGTGGCTTTAGTTAACCGCGTCCACCCACCCAAACTTTCATAGTGATTGATTGGGCATATTACAATTATTAGTGTGAAGGGTAATTTCTTATTCAGAACCTCAAATTTGTAGCTTGAAGAGAGTGAACTCACTGCATTCAGATGACAATTATTTGAAATTCTTCTAATGAAAGCCCATCATCCACTATCGGTCATCAATATTCGACTAGTGGCCTTTTGGTGGTCGGAGACCACTCAGCTCCTATTTAGGTCGAGTAACAGGTGCGTTGTTTGGATTATTCATTATTCACAACTTACGCACTGTGAACGTACACGTAATTAAACTTAAATACCAAGCCTTCTACATTGACAAGCTATCAAATATTGGGTCAACAGTGATGTTATCTTCCCTTCAATCAAAACTAACGACAGACGCTGTCTTTGAATTGGTAAATGTGTCATGTGTTCGTTGAACGCTAATCAACCACCCTATATAACAAAATTTGAAAAAAAAAAAACGCACCAAACTTGTTCATTCATGATAGATTTAGGTTCGTATTCTTGATTGAAACATTCTGTCAACGTGCAATCGATGGTGTGACCTATGATAATTGTCCTACTCCTCTCTGACGACTTATTCTGCCATGGACAGACACTCAGACGCACGTGTGGTGCCAGATAATTGCCTTCCTCTATCGATTTTCTGCACCAATTGGGAACTCATATGTTACTATCCTTCCGCATGTGTTGATGCACATAGTTTTTTTTCCACCGATTTGTCTGTTGCATGTGTCAATAAAGGGTGTCCACAGTCAAATTGAAACTCTTTAGAAAAGCTGTAACATTTTGCCCTTTGGATTAATTTTAATGAAATTTTCGGTGAGATGGTCTCAACGTGTATTGTTTACACAGCATGAGTTTCATCACAAAGAACAGACATCCAAGGTTGAACAAATGTTTCGAAAAATTGTATGTAAGAATTCAAATTAAAATACGTTAGAAACACTAGTGCCGCCATACGGAATGTTGCGACTCGAGTTTGCGATTAATGAGTAAACTGAACTAAAATTTGGGTTGATCTTATTGGCCGTGGCCATAACAAACTGTCAAATCAGTTCAAAACAAACAAGACAAAACAACGAAAATCGATCGAGTTTCTGCGGAACCATTATTTTCAAATAAAAACCAAGCGGTGAAATGTTAGTTATTGTGATAATTTATTGCAACAGTGATTTGTTTTAAATCAATTTCAAAGAGGAATTCAAAAATCCTCCGGGGGGAAGTGGTCGTAACATAACTTTTTCGTTGCTGGCGCCTGGACTCCACGTGAGAAGAAAATCTCCTGTAGTTCGGGCGACTCGCAGTGATTTATTCAGTGGCTGCACCTACAATTTGGAAGGATGTTTATGAATGAATCGATGTAAAACTAAACAATAAGCAAATACTTACAATTAAGCATCCTTTGGAAAATTGTGAAAAGATTTTCGCTTGGTAACACCTTGTTAATTTGCGCACCAGTAAAACTTGCGGCCTATGTTTTGATCGGTTTTAAAAACACAAATTCTGAAATTTATGTAAATATGACGTCTGCCAGTCGTCGAAACAATGTCTATTAAAATAGCAGTTAAATTTCTTACACATTTTAGGAATTTGACTTGGATGTCTGTTCTCTGTGGTTTCATTGTGAAATTTCTAGTTTTTTTTGAAAATGGAGTCGAAGGAACAGTGCGTGCGCGAGAAAATTTTGCACACTCACCTCAACAAACCACATCTTTCGCACCAAGCCATCGGAAGGATGTTGGGAATCCAACAACCCACTGTTTCTCGTGTCATAAAACGTTTCGTAACAACTACAACCGTAAATGGTCAAGTATACATGAATGAGTGCCTGAAGAAACGATTGCTTCCGTTTCTCATCTAGCCTCTTGTCACTACTGCAAGGACGTTCTGGAGTGGTACAAGACGAATGAGGTCAATTTCGTGCCGAAGGATCTCAATCCTCCAAACACACTGGAGTTGCGGCCAATCGAAAGATACTGGGCTCTAATGAAGCATGAACTTCGTAAGCATTTTAAAGTTGGCACTATGGTTGAAAGTAGAAAAAATTCAATTCAACCGATGTACAAAACCTTATGGATGGAATTAAGAAGAAAGATCGGACATTTGGATTTGGTGAAGAAATAGAGTGAAATAAAGATACGTAAACCAAGCTTACATTCAGTATTCCCTAAAAACATCATAACAATCGGTTGAGACCGAGAAGGACGAAAGTCCCAGATTCATTCAAATTTTATCCAAAAATACCTTTTAGTTTGATGAATTTATTTTATCCGAAATAATCGCGTTCAAATCTTTAAAATGAATAATATCGTCTTTTTATCGATCACATCTCTAATATATCGGGTCACATCTCAATCTATCGCATGACAGATTATTTATCATTACCACTAGACGGATTTCACGCCAACTCATCCAGTGGTTGGCAGCACCCTCTCAGAACCTTATGGAACTTTGTGGGTGTGGAGACTTAGCAATTTTAAGCAACTTTGCGTACTTATTTTTTTCAAAATTTATCTCGCCTAACATTTGATAAGGGTCAAAGTTTTTTGTCGATTTTTTTTTCAAATCGATATAGCTTAAAAATGACAAGCCCTACAAAAAAGTGATGTATGGCGAACTTTTAGCAAATAATCTGAAATTTTTAAAAAAAAATTAAATAAAATAAAAAATCGGTTTCTACACTCTAAAAAAATATATTTAAAAATTAAAAGTCATTTTCCCAAAAATGGTACCCTCAGATTTGCTTGATATTTTTTCTCATGAAAGGCAATATAATTACCTAACTTTTCTTCATACATCGCAAAGTGGGCGCTTTTAAGGAAAAAAAGTTGTTCGAACAACAACTTTTTCATGTTAATTTTTTTTTTAGCGTGTTTCACTCAAAGTCGAATAGTAATACGCGCACAACCTTATTAAAATCTGTTGAAACTTAATGAGCATAAAGATTTTGACCTTTTGATAATCTGGGCGTGCTTAAAACAAAAATCTAGCCGAACATTTGAAAGGGCCTAATACAGAGGATTTTCCTGCATTTCGAATGGTGTTTTAATAAATGAAAACTCTAGTGTTTTTGTTTAGTGCATAATTTATTTTCCTATAATTCTCCATACATAATTTGAGTTTTTCATTGATTATTAGTCTATCGGAAACAGAGTGATCGACAAAAAACTTTGACCCTTATCAAATGTTAGGCGAGATAAATTTTGAAAAAAATAAGTACTCAAAGTTGCTTAAAATTGCTAAGTCTCCACACCCACAAAGTTTCATAAGGTTCTGAGAGGGTGCTGCCAACTCCGAAGACGAGTTGGCGTGAAATCCGTCACTAACAACTCTCTGCTGATTTTTTTTCATAAGGGCCAATGTCGAAAACGTAAACAATGACTTCTTCCACGGATTTCTCGAAGATGAAAACTCGCTCAAGTAAAATATCACAATGAATGTGGGAGAGTCCTCCTATCCGATAGAATTGGTGGCTTGCATGGATAGACTTTGAATAAGGGAAATTTAACAAAAAAATCCATTGTTTACGTTTACAACATTGGCCCTTACGAACTCTCAGTGTTCAGATGTTGAGGTGGATTTCGTCAGAGTTTGATGAGGAATGTGGGTACTTCGAGTACACGAATCGCAACCTGGATAACATGTTCTGTACAAATAGGTGCAACCGACGTCTGACCGAGCAGCACCAGGTTTGCTTGGATACTTCTTCTTCTTCTTCTTTGCATTTCAAGCTTATTGCATATCGCATATTAGCTTATTGCGTGCTGTCAACTTAGTGTTCTAGATGCACTTCCACAGTTATTAATTGAGAGCTTTCGATGCCTGTACCATTTTTGCATTGATATGATTGTGTGGCAAGTCCAATCATACTTCTATGCCCAGGGAAGTCGAGAAATTTTCCAACCCGAAAAATTCCTAGACCGGACCGGGAATCGAACCCAGGCACCTCCAGCATGGTCTTGCTTTGAAGCTGCGTTTTTACCGACTGAGCTAAGGGAAGCCCTTTGCTTGGATACTTGCATGGCTGAGAATGATGAAATAATTGAGCATCCTCCGGGTGGGACGCTGAGGTGGTTGTTAAACCCTCGGTAAAACCAAACGAGTTTTGGTTGACGGCTGGATTTCGGGAGTGCTCCGTGAGGGGTTGTCTCGATCTTGCGAGGGAGGTTGTTGATTGGGAGTAGTATAGGTGGAGTGCGGGAGTTAAGCTTCTTCTTCTGCTCCTGATGGGTTGCGAACCGGGGCGTGGTTAGGAGATTTGAGAGGCGTTGTCGTTGATATTTAGGTAGATTAGCACGATCGGAATCTATGGGTCAGATAATGGGACGGCGCTCATGGACCAGAGACAGAGGACGGAGGGGATGACTGCTTTGCTGAACGGAAGATTGGCAGGTAAGGGCGGTGTTTGTTGTTACTCTGGGGAA